GTGCAAGACAGTTGGCCCAACTTCGCCTTCGGCTGAAAATTGGCATTTTATTCTTACATCTTGGAGGCTTCACATTCTGAGATGGGCACTCATAAGTAAACTCCAAGTCAGTACTTACTACTTACTGTACTGGCGATAAGTAAGCCCGTAGGCATTATCCCGCGGCCCGTTGATTCCCGTGCCCGTGCCCGTGGCCCATTCTGAGCCCGTTGGCTGAGATGCTCGACAACGCGATTGCGCCTCGCGGAACTCGGCGCAAGGTAGTTGGGACTGGGAGGCCTCGCAGGCTCGGCCTGACACCCAGGGCGCCTCGCAAGCTCGGCACAGACCCTCGCAAGCTCGGCGGCGCACATGGGAGCCACGCGGCCAACGTGGTGTCCATGTGAGAGCCACGGGCTCGGCTAACCCCCACGTCCCATTCTTTTTAGAGATGAGACGCTCGCTCACCCCGTCGGCATAGCATGCAAGAGAGGGCAGGTTACTGGTTCAATGGTGTAGTTGGTTATCACGTCTGTCTCACACATAACATTGACGTGCACAGGAGGTCTCCAGTTCGAGCCTGGATTGAACCATTTTCCCATTTTCACTTCCCTTCTCACAGCACTCGCCGGTCGACCCTGCGTTCACTTGCGAACAGACTGTGCGGCTGCCTTGAGAATGCCGCACTCCCTCGACAGGCCCTGGTGCCGAGGCTGTCTCGCGACGGTCGCTACATGGGACTCGAGAACCCCGGCCCTTCAAAGCCTCACCGTTCAATCCTTGGTGGTCTTCCCACCACTAATAACTATTCAAATGACCACCACGCACAGAACATTGTTGCGGCCACAACGACAGACTTGTGTTGCCTCTGACCCACAAGCTGAGCGTCCGGTCCACGTTCATCTACATCGCATGAATCGAATGAACTTGTGCTATCATCCATGCGGCGGACGAGTCACTCAATCAAGGAACCCGAAAAGCTGGAGGTCTGCCACAGTGCAGTTCACGCTTCGACTCGAAGTTGAGTGAACCAACGGCAGGGTCACGGTCCTGCAGATTTTCTCAGGAATGTGCGCTACGCTTTACTAGTACCGAGGATACCAGCCATCTGTTGAGTAAGGCATGCTGATGAGGATCACATTCCGGAGAGCCAGCGACATCTGCGACATCTGCACAGATTGGTAATCACTCAGTATGCAACGCCTGGAAGTGAAGGAGAAGGAAAAGGAGGAAGGTACTGTACTGACGAGGCGGCCGGACGCAAGACCGGGCCGATGGCCTCTTTGGCGCCTCATGTTGCGCTACGAAGTTGCTCTCGACGCTCTCGACGTTGAGCACGTCCTGCTCATTCCGCTGCATTCTCTCCACAGTGTGCTCGAATATGGTGATGTTCGACCTTAACCTCCGCCGACCTGTTCGTGAAAGCATGACAAACGTTGCACGGCTCCAAGTCACGACTCACAAATACTTATCGGTGCACGCTTCCATAAGGATACATCATACTATCATACTGCATGCTAGTGTGAGTTTCCGTAGTCAGGGTGATTCTGATCATGTCTTGCAGAGCTGGCTGACTCTGTTCCCTTTTGATCGCACGATGGCTCACAGGTTTTATCTGGTCTTCTGCGGCCCGGGATGACTTGTTGGCAATGCGATTACCTAGCTGAGCGTCGAGGACTGAATCAGGCAAAGCGGCAAACACGCACAAGCTGGAGTCGCCGAGAGCTTACGCATCCACCTACGATCCTGCTTCCCATTTACGACGTGTTCCGGTACGCAACATGGCCGACTCTCAGCCTGGGGATTGTCTTCCTCTCAACAACCGTCCTCGCGTCGTTAACGCAGAGTCTGTGGATTCATCGCCAACGCAGCTCTTCTCTGAAGCCAAGCGCGACGAGGAGTTCTGGCTCGAAGACGGAAACATCATCCTTGTGACGACCACAAGGCCGACGGCTTTCCGCATCTACAAAGCCCTTCTGACGCGACAGATCAAGATTTTTGCGGACATGTTCGCATCGTCGACGCCTCATGAAGGAGAGATGTACCAGGAATGCCCCGCCGTGCAGTTGCCCGACGCCCCCGAAGACCTCCGGCACCTTCTGAGAGTCCTTGTGCCTAGCAAGACCCCTCTGTGAGATCCTCGCGCGCATCTATGCATGTTCATCTTCGGCTCACGTGGCTCCTGCACTGTACAGGTTTTGGCGGAACAAAGGCGACCCACTACCGACGCTGCACTCGTTCTCGGCCATTATCCAGCTCTCGCATAAGTACCATATCGAGCAGCTCCAAAAGCAGGCCCTGGCTGCCTTGAAGGAGCACTACTGCAACACCCTCGGCGCATACGACGCTCGGGTGCCGATCTACGACCAGAACGACCTCCGCAGCGGCGAAAGCACCGTCGAGATCATCGAGCTCGCCCGTCTCACCGACACGCCCTCCCTTCTCCCGGTCGCGCTCTACGAATGTTTCATCAAGGGACAGCTCCATAGGGGATGGCGTCGGGAGGACGGCACGCTCATCCGCCTGAGCATTGCTCATCAGCAGCGATGCAAACACGCGCGTGACGAGTTCACTGAAGCGAGCCATGATCGGGTTATCGACATGATCCGCCTCGCGATCGAACCACGGTGCGGCGCAAAGTGCAAGGACGCGTTGGTCGAATTCTGTAGCGATATGGATAGCGAGCACCTGCCTGTCTGCGATCCCCTCAACGGCGGAGTCCGGAACTCGTGGTCGTGGTGGCTGGAGCACTGGACTGAGAGCCCGAACGGCGGCTGGTCTGACCGCGCTCCTTGTCAGGAGTGCGTGGAAGCTATTCGTGACCACGAATTGAATTCGAAGGACCGCCGGGCGTTGTGGGCCCGCCTACCGTCTATCTTCGGCATCACGGTTCCCGAATGGCCCGATTCCTGAAGTCGACGAAGTCCTCTTGGTATGTCACGCGCCGCTCCGGACGTCACTGAGCGATGATGTTAACCAACTTGTCTGCTCCCGCAGGTCGTCTGGCCTTCCGTCTCAGTATGGTCTCAGTACGGTGGACATCGGTCTCGACGTGTATGGCACAGAATGCTAACCGCTCAGTCTTCGTCTAGATTACGGCACTCCTCTTGCTCCCGGATCGAGTCCTGTAGCCGTGTGCTCCTTCATCGAATACTCACATGTTTCACATCGTCTCCGGATGCGAGCTTGCGTCTCAGCCCGCTCGATCGGCAAAAGGAGCGCGAGACTCGCCAGCAGCTATCCAAGCCCGTAGCACACATATTTTAACTGCGACACGCCGTACACGATGCAATACAGACGCGCGAATGCACGAAGATGAGTTTCAACGGCCCGTACTACTTACGAGGTGAGTCGCCTAGTCAGAGTGAGAGGCAATCGGGACTTGCGCGGGATCAGTTCATCTCTCCTGCTGAATACTTGTTCCATAGCATACGCAGGCCGGGATTGA